CTGACATGTAAGACCCCCCCCCCCTCACTCCGAGAGCTACTTGCTATATATAGACTGAGAGATTCCGAGATTACTGTACTCCTACCAAAGCGTTAACTCACTATACGGATTTTGGAAATTATGAAGGACTTTATTCATCCTTGGAAAAAGACGAGAAACTTACCCGTAGCGTTGGTCCCTTGTGCAGACACGGAACAGGTAACGCCGAGAACAGACCCGACCAGGAGGTACACCGCCCAAGCCATGTCGTCTGGCTAGGACTTAATATGCTCGAGCGCTCCAACTCCAAGGCTCTCTTTCTGCTGTGTCAGTCGATTTATACGTGTCACACCTCACAAACACTGAACTGAATTTTTTAAGTCAAGAAAGGGACAGTACCAAAAAAGTGCGTCCTTGGATAGGGGGTGGGTGGTAATTAGGCTAACTTTATCCTTCTGTGTACTTGGTGCGCAGATCTGACCAGTGTATTTTCCCTTATCATTGAGGGTCTGCACGGGGAGTTCCTGGCAACGGTTAACGGTAAATTCAGCAGGCCGACAACGATTAACGGTAAATTGACAGGCATTTTCATTCGAGCCGCACTTTTTAGTCATTCTGTGTAGACAGCTCTACATATCTACATATAACAGACAGTCATCGTCAAATAACCTCACCTTGGAGTCAAGCTGATCTGGTAGGTCATTCATATACAAGAGGAATATAGTAATGGTCCCAGGATGAGTGGAACTCCTGACGCTACTCTAGATCTAACTGGTGCCGAAGGCTTCCCTTCCACCACTACTGTTTGCTCCCTGTTGGTTAGAAAAGCTTTTAAACAATTTAGTGTTGTTCCTTGGATTCCATAATACTCCAGTTTTGAGACGAGCCTGCTATGGGGAACTTTTTCGAACGCTTTTGGGAAGTCGACTATCGCTAAATCTACCTGCATTTATATTGTTCAGTGCACAGCTATGTCTTGAACTGTTAGTATGAGCTGTGTTTCTGTGGATCAGCTCTAAACCCATGCCGGTAGTCCATCAATATGTTGTGACTTAAAATGCTTCGTCACTTGGCTATGGATGATGTGTTCAAGCAGTTTACAGGATACACAGGTTAGTGAATAAACAGGTTTGTAGTTGCTTGAGGCAGCTCTATCTCCATTTTTGAAAATGGCGATAAGGATCTCTCCGGTATTCAACGAGTGTTGAAAAATATTGCATAGATGACATATATATCTGTTGTGTCTTCCTCGGTGAAAACGCTTTTGAATTCTGAGCTGAGTGCTTCAATTTGTTTTTTTCCCCTCTGTCACTGATAATGGTATACCCCGACAAGGTAAGTCATTTGTAATCACTACACCCCCATGCAGGCCCTCCACCACGACTACCCCGGCCAGGTTGGTTCAGCCTAAGCGATCTGCAGCATCCGGGGTCTCCAGGCCCTGAGATTGTACTGTTACAAGGCTGAATTCCTCACAGGATCAGCAGATCAGCTTCTCATGACCTCTGGGTGTTGATCGTTTAATGTCACCCCCACGCTGTGCTTCGACTTTTTCAACCTTCTCCCCTGAATTATGAGGTCCCCCTGCCAACGCGAATGGCGCGAGAACGACCATTGTGTCAATCATTGATAATGAGGAGGAAGAAAATAAGAACCGGTTTCATCGAGGGGGCCTAATTAGGGGTTTGGGTGCTTGGTGGGAGCAAAGAATTTCGTTTCAACAGGACACTTAAAGGCCATTATGTGACTTTTTTCACAAAAAAAAAGAAATATTTTGATTGAAAAAATCTTCAAGTGATGGTAATTTACTTCCGTTGTTCCACATATTTGTGTAATTGTCTCACTTTTTTTTATTTTTATGGTTGGCCCTAAAACAGCCCACATGAGGTGCATTCAGTATACGGCACCGCCACAAACACAAAATGTATAAACAAACATCATGAAAGCTGCATTAAACAATCGTCAGGTTGCACCTCCTTTTCCCGATGACACTTAGTTGCAATTGACTTAGTATAGTTGACTTAGTATAGTTGATTCAGCTTACTTTCTCTCCTGCCGCCAAACCAACCTGAGTTGAAATGAAAGCACTGCGAGGTTAACGGTTTTACAGGTTTTACAGCGTTCTGTACGGTTTGAAGCGAGGGTCCCTTGAATTGGCGCCATTCCGATGAATTGGAGACACATTTATAATCCATGCCAAATTGTAAATTGTTCCAACTTGTAGCAGGTTGAGTTTGCCATGTACTGACTCTTTGTCTCACAAACCTTCAACTGTACGTACATGTATTTCCTGCTCAGGCCCAGAGGGAATGTGTTAGTTGGTTGACCTTGAACTCCGCGTCAAGGACACAGCATCGGGGTGGTTGAAAATTGTTTTGGGAGATGAACGGTACGTAGTGTCCACAGAGAACAAGGAGCGGAGAACTATTTATTTCAGTCCATGCAATAGGCCGGCATAATTAACAAGAGTTCCGCGATCTTATACCTTCGCCAAGTGATGTTAACCCTTGCGGTTGACGAATTATACAATTTAACCATCGATTTTGTAAATAAGAGCCTCATTTGCGTGGATTATATCAGTTGATCATATTCGATCTCCACCCAATGACAGCCTTATTTTAACAAAAAGGCTATTATAGCACTTCCTCATCAATTATGCAAATGAGGTCATGATTGTAATAAATTATGTTTATTGATGTTCAGCTTCACTTAACTTCCAAATGTGGCAGGTATGAAATTCTCAACAGTTATAACCATGAAATTATAAAAATTTGCCATTAATTATGCGAATTAGGTCCTCATTTACATAATCTATATCCTCAGATGTTTTATCTTGTTCTCAAGTAGATGTCACAAGTGTTTCATAGTTCTATTATCGAACAAAGCAGATTTATAGAATTTCCTCATTAATTATGCAAATTAGCCCCTGATTTGCATAATTGTAATCTGATTATGTCAAGCATCACTTCAACTACCTACATACTAAAGATCATGACAATCCGTCAACCGGTTCTTGAGTTATCATCCTTCGAAATTTTTTCAACAAATGCTCCTGCAGTTCCAGGACAAGCTGCTAGGGGACCCAAACTCATGTCACTTCTTCCCTACTCCAAGAACTATCTACCAACCAAAATTCGTGACCCTAGCATGTCCAGATCACGAGATATCAAAACCGGAAGTTTTGCTGCAGTACCAAGGAAAGCCGCCAGGGGGCCCAAAATCTAATCATTTCTAGGTCTCATGAAGACCTACATACCTACCAAGTTTCATTTCAATCCATTCACTGCTTCTTGAGTAATCTTGCTAAACCACAAACACACACACAAACACACACACAGACAAACGCTACTGAAAACATAACCTTCTTGGCGAAGGTAATTATTTCAGTCCATACCATAGGTATAGATTAATCATTATAGTCTATACCATACTCGTGCTTCTTCTTCTCCTCCTTCTTCCCCTGCCATTTCTTGAAATATTTTACTAGGCTTGTGACAGCTGTTCAAGCAGGAGCTTTCCTGACTTCGTAATCAGTTTCAGAGTTTTCCATCTGTGAGCCGAGATATTCAATGTGTTTGACAGTGTCGCCACTTCTAGGTTGAATGACTACAGGTGTTTTTTGGTTAAAGGTCATCATTTTAGTTTTTTAGCATTCAGGTGAAGACCTACTTTGCCAGCTTCACAGTCATGGATGTCATCCATATAATCAAATCAACAGTGCTTAATTAAACCATGGTAATAAGATCCCAAAAGCCTGACCTCTTACTTTTCTGAAGAAACATCTACTAAATGGTTCGCCCTTTGATGTATGAATTATGAAATGATTTAACAGATATGCTAAAAGCTTCGATATAATAATCTAGAGAACCGGGAGTAATGACCAGATAATTAGTCCATTTTTATCATGTTCCCCTTGTCATTGAATGACATCCACGTTGATATGTTACTAATATAACAGATCCAGTAAATCAAATGGTGTGCAGATATACTTTACAGATTTTTCTCATATAGTCAGTAAGTAAGATTTGTGATCAAACATAAGCAGCTAACGTGACAGACATAATGTTGTTGACAGTGGCTGCAAGCAAACATGCATTGAATTAACTAAAGGTAAAATTACTTGCATACAAGCTCTTGGTAAAAACAAACCCTGAATATCATGCGACGTCAGTTTTGGTAATTGAAGTAATGCAAAGTAGTACTCAACATCAAGTACTATACTGTACAGGTGACCTCATTCTGTTCATGTTTATGTTTATTAGGAACTCCATTAGTTAAAAAAACAGTTCCTTGCTACTATTCCTGGAGTCCCGTACAGTCCTGTGGAGGTTTACACAAGCAACCAATAAAGCTAGTAAGATATGACAGGACTACTCTCCAAGCAGAGGTTTGGGTTTTGGGGGTATTTTTAGTTTGTTTTTAAGGCTTTTTTTATCGGGGTTTCTCTTTTGCACTGAATTTTTTTCCCACTAAAATATACATTTTTTTGGTGGAAAAAAAATTCAGTGCAAAAGAGAAACCCCGATAAAAAAAGCCTTAAAAACAAACTAAAAATACCCCCAAAACCTAAACCTCTGCTTGGAGACTATGACAGGACATCCAGTACAAGTTAACCGTGATATGTGAGCGTGCGAATGAAAAAAAAGTTGCCTTCATTATGAAATCTAGGTGGCCATGAAGATCGAACACATGCCAATATTTTATTGGAACGATGAATAATACTAGTAGACTCTTTCATTTTCATTCCTTCACATTTTCTTCTTGTCCTTTGGAATAAATTTTGGCATTCTGCGACGTTGTCCAATTTCTTTTTGTTTTCAATTTGCGGCATATATTTGCAGCTACTTTGAACGATTTACAGTATGGTCAAAACCCCTTTTTTTATTTTTGGAAACGGACGAAAATTCATGCGCGCGTGGATGTCATCCATATCATCAAATCAACATGGCCTAATCCTAAGAACACTTGTGCGAGACCGCTCCATGTTGTGTAACACTATTGTGTAAACTCGGCAGGGGGCGTGGTTCACTGTTACCAAACAGTTCCACGTGAAGCAAGAGAAGCTAGAAGTAGCTCTGTGTTCCTCCCGAAGAAGTTAGTTCTGGTCAAATTTAGGCTTTTATTTCTACCGCACACGATGCCGGAAGGCCCTGAGCTGCATCTCGCCGCTCGGTTCGTGAACGCGGTGTGCGCCGGCCGGGTGTTCAGCGGCAAGCCGTTCAAGTCTGAAGTGAACTGGAAGAACCCCGAGGTCGCCTTCGAGGCCGCGGCGTACACGGTTTCGGCAGTCTCCCGCGGCAAGGAAGTACAGCTGAGTCTTAACCCCCTGGAGGAGGAGAAGAAGAAGAAGAAGAAGGTTACTGGGTCGCTGAAAATCGTCTTCCGTTTTGGCATGTCTGGAGTTTTCAGGTATTATAAGTGGGGGTGGGGGGGGGGGGGCGACTCCGGACAGGGTTGGTGGAAAAGTATGGTCCGGGAAGGTGGGGTTGGAAAAAGCGGTCTGGCCTTTCATGCGTGGAGTTGTGAGCTCTGCCAGAAATCAGCAGAATACGAAGTAGTCTTCCCGTACATGTATATTTTGACATCAAGCACACTGATTGGCATACGGTACCATACGGTATACCAGTTATTTTGCAGTTGTTCTTTATATTTTTTGGTTGACATTGTTTAGTGTTGTTTACATTTAGATATTGATATGGGGTTATTTTATTGGTTTATGATTTATATTTTGTTGTTGTTGTTTTTCAGATTTACCTCAGTGTCAGAACTTCCCAAACATGCCCACCTGATGTTCTACACCAGAGACAAGCCTCCCATGGTTCTTTCGTTCGTGGACGTGCGACGGTTTGGCAGGTGGGAGGTCGGGGCAGGCTGGCAGAAGGACAGGGGACCATGTGTCATACTGGAGTATCAAGACTTCAGGTGAGACCATGTTTCAAGACATGTTTCAAGGCATGTTTCTAGACATGTTTCAAGACATGTCATACTGGAGTATCAAGACTTCAGGTGAGACCATGTTTCAAGACATGTTTCAAGGCATGTTTCTAGACATGTCATACTGGAGTATCAAGACTCAAGGTGAGACCATGTTTCAAAATATGTTTCAAGACATGTTTCAAGACATGTCATACTGGAGTATCAAGACTTCAGGTGAGACCATGTTTCAAAATATGTTTCAAGACATGTTTCAAGACATGTCATACTGGAGTATCAAGACTCAAGGTGAGACCATGTTTCAAGACCCAGGCATATCCTGTTTCTCAATATGCCTGTGTTGTAAGCTACCGATAGTGGGAATTTAAACATAGCTGCATGATATAGTAAGCGAGTATTACATAATATTTACATAATCTGAAACTGATCACCAACTTATTTGTCATGTCGGATCAATCACCTTGTCTGAAGCCATTTTTCCCCTTTTTTTGCTGCAAAATTATTTTAATTGAAATATCTTCAGGCGATTGTAATTTCCTTCAGAATCAACTTTTCAACATATTTGTGCAATTATTTCACATTTCTGACAATTAAGGTTGGCACCTAAGCAGCCCACACAGTTTGTGGTACCACCACAAACTACCAGAATGTAAACAAACATGGCTGACATCTGTGTTTCCAGCTTATAAACACACTTGTAAGGTTTCGTATTTTGGTGCCTCCACTTCTTGAATAGCACTTCATTGCAATGGAGAAGTGTTGATTCAACATACTTTGTAATGAAGCGACTAGAAAATCTACCTTTTGTATCATCCTAAATGTTATATTACTTACAAACCCAATGTTATAAAATGCAGCTTTGATATACTTTGTACCAGCACTGTACAATTGAATGTTAGATTAGACCATGTTTAGAGTTAAAACTTAAGATCCGACACAATAAATTCTCTCACCTAGAGCTTTTGACCAGTCACTCTGGTCTTCCTCAGTAGACTGACCCAGTGAGGCTTGTCATGTGGCTTCTTTGATGTGTGACCTCAACACTGGGTCAAAGGTATCTGGTAGACTATGGCGGACCATGTTTGTATTATCTTGGTGTGAAGGAAAAGTTCCCACTGTGCCTGTTCCCAGGTCCCATGTTCTGTCCAGCCTGGCCGACACAGCCTTCAACAGACCCATCTGTGAGGTCCTACTCAACCAGAAGTACTTCAACGGTGTGGGGAACTACCTCAGGGCAGAGGTGCTCTTCAGGTGGGGCTTTACTGTACTTAATTTAACTTTTTGTATCTGTATCAGTATAGCTGGTATAACCGCCAGCTTCGCAGGTGCGCGGCGCGGCGGCAGCTAGCTATATCACACCAAACGACTTGTTACACTCAATCTTTGCACATTTAATTGCAGGAGTTGTTTCAAGCTTTCTAGTGATGATGCCCCAACTGTGCTTGGTGGCAATGAGTTCCAGTCTACAATAGTTCTGGGGAAATACGAGTTTTTGAACACCTCAATTCTTGGTTCAACTCTAGATATTTGAAGGCATGACTGTTTCTTGTTCTTTTCTGGGCTGGTATCAGATACTTAGTGGTTGGTACATCCACCAATTTATTAGTCATTTTGTACATCATGCACAGTCTGGACATTCTACGTAATTGTAACAATATACAATCATACACATGGGACACAGGCAGCTTAAGTGCTTGTGTGATAATTGTGACCCAAAAATCTGTTGCACAAGATGTGCCGCAAGGCCAAATGATATTTTTTACCTGTGTAGATCGGGCAGCCCCGGCTAGTTAAAGGAGTACTAACCTCCAGAAGGCGGTGCTATATTCCGACAGGCATTAATTTTAGGAAGTGAAAAATGCATATTACTTTACAGTATACAATTAAATGCCCATTTTGTGCGCAAGTCTTCAAACGCATCGAATCCAGGACAAACTCTCCAAATACCCTCAAAACTATCCCAGAATACACCACGCTGCCACATTGGTGTCTATGTTTTAAACAAAAAGTTGCGTTACAGACTTTATTTCAGGGGCGATAAGAAAAATTTGTACCGTTTTGTGTTCTTTGGCATCTTACCAACCATTGCCCTTCTTAAAGTCCTTATCGCCCCTCATTTATGCCGAAAATATTGACGATGAAAAAAGCGGGGTAATCTAGTTATCTTTTCAATAAGTGGCGTAATCTAATTATGTGTACAATTAATACTTACATGCAAATAAGTTGAGAAAATCAAAACACGCAGGATGAAACTGGCGCTCTGCATTAGACATCCTGATATTATAGTATTCAAGCAACAGGTCAAGCAAAGTAAAGCAAGTAGTTTCTCAATAATCAGCTTGTTAGTGTGCTTGTCTCCTGCCATTTTCGCCGAAAAATGTTTATGTTGACCTGAAGTGTATGAGTATTGCGTAAGCCAGAGTTCCCGGATGTATCGATTGTGGTTCAGCATGGGGAAAATTGATATTGATATCGCTTGACAAACATGCGTCGCACAAGTCGTACAAGCAAAATTATGTGAAAAGTCGGCTAATTATGTCTTCATTGCAGCATGATGAATCGGAAAATAGCACTTCCTTCTGGAGGTTAGTACTCCTTTAATATAACACTAAAATGCATTGTAGCACAAGCAACAGCATAGTCTATATAGCTGAGAGAACAAACTTCTGCTTCAACCTAGCTACAATGTTTTGCTTTCAGACTGGGGATCCCACCTTTTGTGAGTGCACGCTCAGTATTAGAACCTCTGGCTAAAGCAGACGAACTTGTGGCACAAGTAAGTGACTTTAATCTGTTATCATGTCTACTTTTAATTTTCTGGTAAAATGTTTTTGACAGCCATATATGTGTAAGGATTTGTACCAGTGTCATATATAGTTGTGAATTCAGCATTGCAGTTGTTAATGATATAACGTTACATGTATGTGATGGCCTTATACAGTAGGATCATGCAAATCCTGATCAAAAGTCGTACAAAATGCAATTAACATCTTTGCATTTCTCACTTTGAAGTTGTGTGAAAGTCATGGCTTATGCACGGCATTTGCATGAGAAATAAAGCATATAAAGCTGCCTGTCAAATAAACCCACAAAAAGTGAATTCAATCAACATCTGACTTCTCTAAGGCCACACCAATTTGATTTCTTGGTTAACGGATTTTTGAAGAAAAATAATGGAGCGGGCGGCGAAAAAATAAAAAAAATAAAAACAGGCCTAGGCAATATATTATGGCCCAAAATGGTACTATAGGAGCCATGAAGTCAACGCGTACCATGCTGGTTCAAAATTTAAACAATGAATTTTGAACTTTTAATGATACCACTGCATTGAAAGATGGAATAACTGTAACAACTAGGAAGAAAAGGACTGTTTTCAACTGTTCAGGGCAAAATATGAACATTTTGCAGTTGATTCTGAATTTTTATTTTTATTTGCAAATCAGAAAAAAATGAAGCGGGCGAATCCGTTAACAAAGAAATTAAATTGTTGTGGCCCAATGACTTGTATGTATTGTACTTTGAACCTAGATTTGACCTCTTTGCATTTTGGTAGAACACAGCAGAACTGTTTGAAGATGAAGTGATGTTATATTAATATGATCCAACAGAATGGTAAAAAGGGGGTAAAGATAAAGACAGAACAGCCAGACCTCCTGGAGCTGTGCAACAAGCTGGCACTGGAAGTCGTCAGTCTAGGTAAGATACTTGTTTTGTTTTATGTGGATCTCCCTTTCTTTATGTTTACCAAAGGAAAACATATTGTTTTTGCTCTCTTTCCTCTTCTTCTTCTTCTCCAAACAAATAATGTCAATGACCTCAACCAGATGTCTGTCACCATGGTAACTAGTGTTGGGTTACTTCATGTTGCAATTTTATAGCAGGAGGGATTTAGACTCCTGTCTGACCAAATACATATGGAAGTGTTTGAGTTAAGAATTAACAGAGTAGACCATATGTGAAAGTAAACATTATGCATTTGCTTTGCAAATGTTACCTTAAACTACATATACAGTGTAGTTGTAATGATGTGGTTCAAATGCTGTATAGATAATTTTACCTAATTGTACAATTACATTTTGCAATCAATAGATAATGAATACGTATTTTCATTCATTAGTGTAGCTTATGAACCTAAATAATGTAGTTATAGGCATATTATAAAGTTTGTTGTATTATGTGCTGGGTGTTTTATGTATTAAGATTAATCAATGTGAATTTTGGCGCATGCACTTCATGGGCAAATTTTATAACTTCCCATCATGTGATGTGTGACATTTTTGTCATGTCAATATCAATATTAACGCTGAATCAGTGCAAAGTTCACACTAGTCTTTCTGGTGCAAAATTCTGACGCAACATTGACCAAACATATGTATGGGTTCACCACACCATGAAGTGGTGGTGAACCCATATTGCTTTTTCTGATGTTTCTTCTCCTTCTTCTTCTCCTGCCATTTTTTAAATGGATTCAGCTTCTTCATTTTAGGGCCTAAGGTCCTGAAATTTGGTATGGAGGTACAGTGGGCAAATACCCCTAGGCGTTTTTTAAATTATTGTGATACAGGCTTTTAGAATGGTTTTATTTGAGTTTTTTGGCTGTGTTATAGCAAATGTATTACTGTGTTAGTGTGCCTTGTTTACCACGTTTGGGCATGAGTCATCACAATGGAATGCAGGGCATCAACCAATTAAGGCATGCAGCTTTCCTCTATTCTTCTTGCTGATTGGCTGTTGGGATTTAACTTGATCAACACCTGCACAGAGCATTTCCACCTGCACAGAGCATTTCTTGCTGATTGGCTGTTGGGATTTAACTTGATTAACACCTGCACAGAGCATTTCCATACTCAGTCTGACAGTATGTCTGTATTCAAGTGTTTTGGTAGGTATTTCAAGCTTTCCTGCTCCAGCATTGGAATGCAGGGCATGGACGTTTTTTTTTTATTTTGAAAATCAACAGTTTGCATTATGCAATTAAAAATCCTAACCAATAAAGTAGGGAATAGCTATCCAACTGTTGTTTTAGTTGTATTTTACTTCATATTATGTAAATCATTGTTTTCCCTTGTGTTTCTCATTCTTTCCCTGCCATGTCGTAAAATGTGGTGAACCCATCGCTGTATTTGCTCCAAAGCAAATATTGGCCTTTCTAGTTATAATATATGACTGGTTATGACTAGTTTATTGATTGAAAATATCCAAATGCAAACTGTGAAAAATCCAGGTTTACTGCGGATGCAATACAATTTGCCAATGTGCTTTAACAGCACAAATGAACTAAGATTCTCCCAAAGCGATTTCAGGACAGCAAAAATGGAAATATTCTGAATAATGCAATCTTTGTGATATTGACATATACTGTTTCACATTAGCACATTTAAATCAGTATTTCATACTTTGGGCATTCAAAACTGCAGAAATAAGCCTCAAGATGAGTCCGTTATTTTCTGAGTGGTACCCTAAAAATTCCTTCCAGTATTCCATCAGAAGTTTGAGAATTTGGCTCCATGGGGGACAATATACATTGGGATAACATGGTTTGAATTTCAACTCAGTATGCAGTAGAATATTGGCTTTGAAAAATCGGGTTTCCAAGCCCTAAAAACTGCACTGGATGTCTGTTAAGGTGCGACAACGTACAGCCATGCACCTGACAGTGAGTCCAGTCATGATGCCTTCCTGAGGTGGTTACAGTGTTACTATAACTCTGACATGAGAACTCTGGTGGACCACAACGGAAGGACTATCTGGTTCAAGGTAAGAATGATTGGATGTATGGATGTATGGATGGATGGATGGATGGATGGATGGATGGATGGATGGATGGATGGATGGATGGAGGGAGGGAGGAAGGAAGGAATGTATTGAATAGGAATGAATTAATGAATAAGTGAAGATACATGTAGGAATGAAGGAAGGAATGATGATATGAAAAGACCGATGATCACAGTGGAAGGACCACAGGTCCAAAGTTTGTCTAAAAAACAACAGAATGACTGAATCTTATCTGCAGGAATACCTCTGAGTCAGTTTTGATTTTTTTCTAAATGATCCTCTCTTTTCTCAGGGAGAGGCAGGGCCACTTGCTCCAAAAGGTAAATTTTACATGTCATTTTTTTGTTCATCATCTATATAATATTATTCTCACTGCTATGCGACTTTACCTGTGGTTGCCAGCAAATCAAATCAAATCAAATCAAACTTTATTCATCAACTTGGCAGTCCTTAGACTGAATTGCGTTGATTGTACAATTTTGCCAATTATAAAAACACAGTACTGTTAATAAGCAACATATCATCAGTTAAAAAGATAATTATTACATTACATAATCAATTAATTAAAATATGGTAAACAGGGTTTTTTCTAGAAAAATCTGGCATGAGGGAGCGCCCGGAGCGGTATGACGGTGAGGGAGCGAAGCGACCGAGGGGGGGGTTGGTGCGGAAGGGGGTATCCCCCCGTTCCGCCATGTGAAGCCTTTGAAAATTTGAAGTTGAAATGGGACAGTTTCAGGTTACTTGAGGGGGAAAATTTGAACTCTTTCATTGTATGTTTCTTTGAAAATAAACAACTATGATTGTGAAAAAGGTCTGTTTACTTGGATTTCACAACACCTTCAAAGGCTATTTTAGCTTGCACAAATTTACAATATGCTAGATACAGTGCTCAATACAAATTTCCAGTACTATAATGGATGTAAAAGCCATAGGAGAAGGATAGATAGACTAAAATAATTCAATGTTTTTTTGTCAATATCTTTCCTAAATTTCTATTCATGCATTGCATATTTCCTTTATAAAATATAAGTACAATCAACAGTACACACAATGTGCAAATCACCCTTTATACACTTAAAACAATTAGTGATCAATGTTACTAGTAGCTCCAGATGACAACATTGGGTTTGCCACAAGCTCAACCCTTTCCCATGGCAAAGTTGCAACTTGCAACACATTCATCCAAGCTGCTACAAACTCAGGTCTCATGTTTCACTTCAGAGCCTGTTCTATAGTATGCAAATGAAGGAGGCTTACTTCTAGTCTTTGGGCAAGTTCTCAATGAACTATGTTTGCTCCATTCAGACTTTTACTACTAGAGCTAAATTTTCATGTTTGTGGTAAGATTTTGGAATTTTCATGAGAGTAACATAGTTTGTAATGCTAGAATACATTGTTATGTGGTGTTGTTTTTGTATTTTTAGTGGAAAAAGATAATTTTGAAAAAGACTTAGGCTTCAATCTGAAAATTGATATGAGGGCGCTAGCTTGTTACATGAGGGCGCAGCGCCCTTGTTCCCCTGTTTAGAAAAACCCCTGGTAACTAGAAAGGCCAATATTTGCTTTGGAGCAAATACAGCGATGGGTTCACCACATTTTACGACATGGCAGGGAAAGAATGAGAAACACAAGGGAAAACAATGATTTACATTGATATAACTATAATATGAAGTAACATACAACTAAAACAACAGTTGATAGCTATTCCCTACTTTATTGGTTAGGATTTTTAATTGCATAATGCAAACTGTTGATTTTCAAAACAAAAGAACGTTCATGCCCCGCATTCCAATGCTGGAGCAGGAAAGCTTGAAATACCTACCAAAACACTTGAATACAGACATACTGTCAGTATGGCATGGCTCTGTGCAGGTGTTAATCAAGTTAAATCCCAACAGCCAATCAGCAAGAAATGCTCTGTGCAGGTGGAAATGCTCTGTGCAGGTGTTAATCAAGTTAAATCCCAACAGCCAATCAGCAAGAAGAATAGAGGAAAGCTGCATGCCTATTGGTTGATGCCCTGCATTCCATTGTGATGACTCATGCCCAAACGTGGTAAACACGGCACACTAACACAGTAATACATTTGCTATAACACAGCCAAAAAACTAAAAAAAAAACATTCTAAAAGCCTGTATCACAAAAATGTAAAAAACGCCTAGGGGTATTTGCCCATTGTACCTCCATACCAAATTTCAGGACCTTAGGCCCTAAAATGAAGAAGCTGAATCCATTTAAAGATATGGCAGGAGGAGAAGAAGGAGGAGAATCATCAGCAAAGACAATATGGTTTCACCACACCACTTCGTGGTGTGGTGAACCCATAAATATAGTAAAAATGCATGTACGACGAAATGGACACACAGTGATAAAAGTACGTAATATGTATAAAATTAATGTGATGTGGACGACTTTAGCAATCCAAATCTATTGGTTTTGTCATTTTATCTTTTTTTGAACAGGTGGCAAGTGTAGAGGGACCAACAAGAGGATGGAGGCTTCTGTAAAGAAAAGGAAGTCTGCAAATAAGGTTGATCAGGATGAGGTAAGTTGGCAACCATTTGTGTAGTGTGAGTAGTTCAGTGTTTAGTGTCCGGGCCACTAGGCAAGTCATGAGTTCAAATCCCAGCTGTTGAGAGAAATGAGATGAATTACCAAATAGCAGACATATAATATGTATATCAGTTCTTCTGTAAAATGCCGTGCACGAGTAGTTTGATCCACAAAGCCCAAAAGAACATTTTTGACAAATTAAAAAGTTACATATAGTTGGAACAGAGAACTAAGCACAGTCACACCAATTGGCCAACAAGTCCCTCCTGCATGTATTTGAAAAATGTTACTGGAAATTTTAAAGGGTCATAATTCTTAAGAATTGAAATTGGCATGTAATTAGCCGTGGACTACATTGTTGAATTTGGGCTAGTTGAATGTGTACAATGAACCTGTATAAACATTTACTGTACATAACATACATCTGTCTTCTTTGTCACAAGAAACTGTTCATTGAGTCCACTTGAGCTTAACTGGTTTACTTAAATGGTTAAAATTATTTACGTTCCTTCCCCAGACGGTGAAAAAAGTAAAAGTAGGGGTGAAGGAAGAAACCAAGAAAGGCGGCAAAGTCAAGAAGACTCCAACCAGGTACTGGTAAATTACAGCTTATCATACAAGAAATCAAAGATGTTATACTTCCTTGTAGTAATTGGGGTCATTTTGAATTTGTTTTATTCATTTTAATTGTGAACTTGGTAATTCTGTGCATATGAAGTGCAGGCAATGTGTAATATTGTTTGGGTAAGTCCCAAAGTTGATCTCCTAAGTTAAGCCTGCATTCCTTAACATTATGTTTTTTGATGTTTCTGGATATTGTTAGAAGCACCAAAGCAAAACATCCTACCACCAAGGTTGTCACAGGCACCCTAAAAAACACAAGAGTGTGCAGGACCAGAAACAACGCAGTGCAGGCATCAGGAAAAAACACTCCAGCCAGGCAAAGAAGGACCACAAAGGCTACAGGTGGGTAGTACATTGTACATCCAAGTTGTTTTGGTAGCCTTTGATTTATCTCAAGGCTATGGATAGATCATTATTACCCTCCATGTAAATGGGGGGTATTGTTTTTACTCCGTTTCATGTTTGGTCTGATATCTGAAGATCGGTGAGAAGGAACTGTATGATATTTGGCAGATTGATGGATGGGGCCTTGGAGATTGTGTAGGTTGACTTTGAGCACCTGGTGATTGACCTTGGTACTGCAGTTTAATTTTTTTATTCTATTGTTGGCACGTTATGGTCCGTGTGTGCGATGCTAAGGTAGCATGTAGTTGTGGTTACAATGGTTTAGTGATGTAAATTTGGGCCCGCTAGCTGTTTGCTTTGAACCGGAATTGCTATCTCAATGTCAGATTGTTTGCGTTGAATGATCTCAGAACCCGGTGGATGGTTGGCGATCATTTTTGGTATGTGGGTAGACGCTGATTGTCTTTGCGTTTTAGCGTGCATTAGCAGGTTGTCGTAGATTTGCATTGCTTATTTAAAAGGATTTTCACATTTTCACCCCTATTTCATAATAGGATGGTCTGTTTGACCCCAAATTGGTACAGAGTGTTTTTGTTTATACCTCCAGCTGGCAGGTCAGGCCAATCTATTTTTACCTCTAGACCATGTCTGCAGGAAATATATCTTATCTTTAATCGGTCATTCAGCAGGGAACTGGGTCATCAGTGGTTTGTTAATATGTTGTGCTTGAGAGGTCATTGACCTCAAACAAACCATGGTAACAAGACACTAAACGCCTGCACATGACAGCTTGGGCAACCCCTTCCAATACGAAGTGCCACAACAAAATTCTTAAATCAAATCAACTTTATCAAATCAACTTTATTGCTCAACAACTGTAGCTGGTACAATGTATGGCAAAGAAACAACAATGGTACATACATCAACTAATACTAAGATATAATTCTAACTAGCTAGTCCATAATGATACTAAAGCTAATCTATTGTATTTTCTTAGGAAGAGTATTATTACATTCTGTAATTCAGGGGATATATCAGCTATTTACAATCTGGTGTCGCTTTTGTAGTGATTCGAATATGAATTTTCCAACGTACACTGATATCTGAGTAGGACATGAAAGGAGAGTATTAAAAATATCTGATTTTGAGTGAGGTAGCGTAACATTAGTTTTGGAAGCTATGGATTGCATCAATTTTTGTCTGTTTTCTTCATATGTTGGATTTGACATCATAAAGTGGAATTCGTCTTCAATACCCTCCTTGCATGTCGGACACAATCTCTGATCGGCTGGTGTGTTATAATGACGGCCCTTTTCGATTTCCAGGCCATGTGAACTTATCCTCATTTTAGTTATGCTTGTCGTAAAAGATTCGTTTTGAATTGATGATAGATACTTTTCCAAGCCGAAGTGTTTTTTAATTTTAGAATAAGTATGAAGTTTATTGAATTTTCTTATTTCCTGCCACCAGCCAACTAGAAATGTATCCTGTAAACGTTGCTTGAATAAGCTTCCAAACTGGTTGGCATTAACCCTTGGGTTCAGCCAGACATTTTGGAAGCCGTGTCTGCACAGTAAGTCCTGTATGTGGACTGTCCAGTCATGGTCTAGTTCGACAGCAGCATCATATGCCTTCTTTACAATTCTGTCATTAGATAAATTGGTTAGCCTAAGCCAGTATTTGATCATTTGTGTCTGAGCATCAATGTACAGTGGTAAGGTTCCTAGCTCCCCCCTTACAGCGGAATTGACAGAGCTCTTTGGAACATGGAGAAGTATTTTGTAGAAATTTAACAGAACATACTCTAGGTCAGGAATTTCATAACATATCGTTGGTTGTTCTAATGTAATGTTTTCTAATATTTCTGAGTGGTATATCAAATTAAGTTTGTCACTATATCTTTTAAAACGAACGAGAACGGGGCGAGGAGATAAAGGGTCAAGTTTCTTCCCTATGCGGGAAGTTCTAAGGATGGCGACATCTGGTGCCAAAATTGGACCAAGAATGTTAGTTACTTTTTCTCTGACATTTTCGTTGGGACATTCTTCTATTCCTTTCAGGATCAAGTCTCTACATTGTGAATTTGTTCCTAGGACTTCACTACAGTACAACAAAATTGGTTTTACTAAAGTGTTAAACAGGTCGAGGGCAAGTGGGATGGAGGAGTTGGAGTTTGATGATAAGAGTGATTTTAATTTGAATGAAGCCCTTAAAGCTTTCAATCTTAGTTGTTTTATAGCTCTATTAAATGAACCTGACGGGGTTACATCTATTCCTAGATATGTATAGTGGTTAGTAATTTCTATGTTTTGGCCCTGTGTTTTATATGGTTGGTGTTGGTTTTTGTTAATCCGCCCGTGTTTTGTAAATATCATAACTTTGGTTTTGTCTTTGTTTATTGATAACTTCCACAAGGAACAGAATTGGTCGAGTATTCGCAGGCATTCTTTGAGTCCAGCTTCAGATTTGGATACAAGTACAAGATCATCCGCCCATAATAAACTGTTAATAGCGGTGTCTTTTAGAAAGATGGGGTCGCATGATGGCGTGTTAAGTAGAGCTGTAAAGTCATTATTATTATTTTATATATAAGTTAAACAACAGAGGACTTAAGCTACAACCTTGACGTACACCACAGGTTGATTGAAAGTAGGGCGAGAGACCATTTGACATTTTGACACAATATTCTACATTTGAGTACATTGACTGTATGGTTTTGAAGAAGTTCCCCCCAACACCTGTTGATAGTAATTTGTAAAACAACCCATTTCTCCATACGGAATCAAAGGCCTTCCTA